CGAAAAGCAGCGTCAATCTTCTGCTTCCAAGATCGAGCATTGTGTTCTTGGAGACGGAACCAAGCTTTTTCCTCAGAGATTTTGCAATCGGAAGACAGGCAAGCCGAGCCCTCCGTATCATACCGAAACTTCCTCCCTCGTCCGCCCTTCGTATCTTGAGTGGGGCCGCGAGGCTTCGGATCAGCACTTTTGCTCCTCTTGGTATCATGGCTTGTCCGTTCGCTGCGAAGGGTCCGATGGCTGGATCTTGTTCTCAACCTTGAAGAGGTCCGACGCTGTCCTGACTCCCTGATTTTCTGAATCTTGAGCTCAAACGCCTCCTCTCGCGCCAAACGTTGTCGCTGTTCCAGTAGACCTGTCCGATAGATGCAACCTAGTTTCCACTCGAAAGCATCATCTTCTAGCTCAAATAATAAAGCTTTACTCCGCAGCGAGATCCGTGGAACCTTCTTTGGCGCTTCTGGATCCCTTGCTGAAATGAACTCCGACGAACGGTTCTTGAAGCGATGATGGAGCTGCTTAAGAGCTTTCGCAGTGTTGACCCAGTTGTCGAAGACACGATGCATGATCATGTGATGAGGGACCCCTATGCGGATAAAGTCGGCCCAGATGTCTATTGACCTCTCCTCGACTAGATTAGGGCCCTGCTTTAGTTTGAACTTGCGCAGGTCAACCTTGATGTTATTCATGCTGATAATCCTAGCCCAAACACCCTTGAGCTTGGGAGCTTCGGCATGTAAGCGAATCAGCTGAGCCTTCACGAAGGGAGACGACAGACGGTGAGACCCAGCCGCCAATCCATATATCTGTAGCAACATTGGAGGATCGGCAGGTAGGAATGTTTTGATTTGAACGACTGTAGCTCTAATATCCACCGTGATGAGCTCATTCCTTTTAAGGGGTGGCTTCGGAACAGATGGCGAGGTTGCAGAATCCTTCGTCTGCCATTCAAAGGGGGGCTGGGTTGGTGCTTCTGTAGGGTGTTGAATGAATGCATCCTGGATAACAGACACCGCCACTCCAACACAGTAATAGCGATAAAGTGAATACTGCAAATAGACACCCTTCAGAACCGAGTTGATATGGAAGATAGGACCAAGTCGGTCACTTTGGGTGCTTAGTGCAACCTCAAATCGGGGAAGTGAGAAGAACGGCTCAGGCTCTAAGTAGTCTTCAGATTCAATCACAAAGCCTTCGAAGCCACGGGCATGAAAAGCCAGCCGTCTCCCATCGGCAGCACCATGTTGAATTTGTCTGGGCGGTGACGTTGGAGGAAATCGAAACGGCGATTCGTCACCAATGGTGGAGTGACTTGGGGTGCGTCGCCGTACGAGATTGATGTGAGTCGGTTCGGCTTTTTGGGCTCTGTATTCTGCAGTCCACGATTGCATCTGTAATGAAACTCCCCGGGAAAGGTTTGAGACGGTACTGTCCACTCCAGCGATTTCCAAGCTGAGGCTCGTGGCCTCAAACTGAAAATTGAGTAACCATGGCGGAATACGCCTTAGTATGCTCGGTTTCCTTTCTTGGCGTGCCATCGAGGCCCTCCTCCTGTTCTGCATCTGGTCTCGGAATTGCTCGACAACCTGGCGGATGCCGCGATTGACCTCACCATTGACCATGTGGACGGAACATGTGTTCAGTGTCCCCGTAGCGATCACACACACCTCTGGCGACGCGTTGAGGAGGACCTTGAGTTCCAGAGTCTCTGTGGTCAGCAGATTGTGCTTGACCCCGGTTGGGGTCTGGTAGTACAGCTTGTGATCTGCGACCCGATAAACTGACGAGAGAGAATAATGTACTCCACCTTCTGACGAGTGCGAAGAATCTATATCGAGAGCTATGGCGGATATGGAGGATATTAGAAGATTATAGTCATCATCAGAGCCTGCTGATTCTTTAGTTATGGGGAGGACGAGTCGAACGACAGGTTCATGCACAGAAAGCTTGATATTGGCTTTCGGGAGCAGCCGCGAAATCAGTCGATGATTGTCGCGCTTCTTTCCGCGCGAGGAGGATGCTCGGGTTTGAACCAGACCTAGAAGTCGGTCAAGATGATGTGGTTCTAGATCGAGAGAGGGCGAGGTAACGACAAAATTGGCAAAGAGGATATTCGTGTTGCGCTCCTCCGCATTATGATCATCGAAAGAGCCCACAGTTTTGGAAGGAAGCGTAGTCTTGATTGTTGTGGTAGCCATAGGGATGTATACGATGTTATCCGTCTCGCCCGAGCTATCGTCCAAGCTTACTGAGAGAGAGATGGCGGCTAGAAGGGCCTGATGTGCGATGTCGTCCCGCTGAAAATACATGCGATGTTCGGGACTCCTTTGGTCCATGCGATGCAGGTCAACGCCGATTTCATGGGATATGACGTTCAAGTAGACCGATTTCTGCCCCGCAGAAGACGGCTGGACTATGCGAGACAGTCGGAAGAAACTCAAAGCCAGTTGAATTTCCCGAATGCCACGTAGCAGGGAGCTTGCAAATTCTTTCGAATCAGCGACCGTTTGCACAATCACATCGTCACGACTGCCAGGTCTGTCCAACTCTTCGACAAAGTCGGCAAACGATATCTCGTCGTCCGTGTCATTGATGATAGGTTCCTTCCTGGACCGCCGAAACTGCTTCATTCGTTGTGAGACGGTTGCCAGTTCGTCATATGGAATATGGAGTCTTCCGATTTTCAGTGCAATAGAGGTATCCCTGAGTCCGTTGAGGTCACTATGGAGGAGTCCGTGGATATTGACCTGGACATGATCCAGAAGCTCGGCCGGCTCGCTGCCATCGACCGCTAGTAGGACATTTTGCACATTCATGATCCATTCGGCAGGGCATAGTTCACCAGACCCATCCTTCTTTCGGTGAAACACCTTTGCCCGGTCCACCATTTTCCGCCTGGTGTCCACCGCCAACGAGAGCGATCCTATCTGGAATTGGCCGGCTTCAACGAAATTGATAGTTGTATTCACTGCAACGACATCCACCAATTTGAGCCAATGTATCTTTCGGTGAAGCCTCTTGACCTGCTCCTTCATCCGTGTGAGGGTCTTCCACGTCTTGCTCCGCCGAGCACGTGCCGGGCTGCTCTCCCCTCCATCCTGCGAGGTATCTCCCACGTCCGAAGAACCTTGAGGCTCGGGCGCATCCGCCTTTGCTGTGTTGCTATTACCCTTGCCCAAAGCTGAAGGGTTCACGGTCACCTTCAGTTCCGTCAAGCGAAGACTCAGCCATGTCGGTTGCGCGAAGGACGGAGGATGTAGAGATAATCCTAAGCCACGAAGTTCGATTTGTATCCCTTCTCTCGGAACATAGGCAATGCGGCGGAGGGAGAAATAGCCGATTCGCTGAATAGAAACTCCCGTTGCGATTCGAACGATGGCGAAGATGAGGAACGAGGAAAGGTAGAGGAGGAGGAAACCCACGAGGACGGTCGTCGGACTAAAGAGCGTCATCGCGTGTCGCGACCAGTAGGGAGACCGATCCGTCGAACAAAGCCAGGGGATTGACGGCACAAATCATCGAGATGCTAGCCGATGCTGCGAATAACTTCAGACAATTATAAAATTAGCAAAAGAGTCGCCGACCTCAGGCTAAAAATATGTTTGCCTTGAGGAATGACCCGCGATACGAGCAATTCTTCACGAGCGTTCGGAGTCGGCGAGGAACAGGTCTCAGTAAGACCAGAATTGCGCACTGGCCTGCAAAGTGTCCAAAGAAAGCCTCGACAGTGATAAGCCAGGCATGCTTCGAACAAAATTGAACAGTTCAGAATGTGATGGATATTGAGGAATGGTACGAGAGGTTCATAAGGTGATAGATAGAACCGGAGCGGCCGAACAATAGATCCATCATCCGTCAAACCATCCCAAGAATAATAATGTCAGCAACAAGAGCTGCCAAACGGTGGTTGCGGGCAAACGGGGGGGGCACAATAATCTGGAAGCGGAAAGCCCGCCCACTTGGCCAGAGCTAAGCTAACTAACTACGGAACACGGAGTATTTGGCTCTGTGGCGGATCGGCTGTCCCGGCATTATTGCTTGGGGTCAACTGGCGAACTCTGCCGATTTAATGGATCATTAGCCAGAATAATATGGGCCGCAAGAAGATAGATTACCATCTCAGGAAATGACTAGAGCACATCATACAGCATTGAATACGCATCCGGTTTTCCCTGCTTCGGCAATGAGTTGATCGCCCCTGGTTACTCTCCGTAAAGGATCCTCATTGACCTACAAAATCACAGAGCCTTGGACTTACACATGAACACCTATATACTCGGGAATACGATAAGGAATAGGAGGCCCTTCGGATGCTGTCAGCCTGTCGATCTTTATACCATGTACGGAGTAGCTAAACTAACTTCTCTATGGCAAGTCTCCTTTCGCAAGTAACTATTTAACAACTACATTCAGGGGTAGGATTAGCTATATATTCAAGCCAATGCATACATAAATCATACATATTTGGTCAAGGCTTCCTTATTACACTTGTCTCTGGAATATCAAATTGGCACTAAAATAATTCTTTTACGGTTTAGTGCCATGCTTCGGGCAATTAAGACACTGAGCTTTTGCGTATTTTAGCTGTGATATAAAGGTGTGTGGGATTTTTACAGTCGCCCTTCAGATGTCGGCTTACCATCCTCGATGAAAGTAATGAACATTCGCCAACAGAAAATGGGGAGACACTCTCCAGCTCGTTAGCTATCTTACAAATTGCTCCTTTTGATAAAATACAAAAATACAAGACGTCTTTGCACCGTTCCAATCAGGAATGTCCATACACATACCTAGCTGCCTTTAGCGAAGAATCAGATTTCTCCTCAGACTATGGTGAGCAACGACGATCGAAACCTCTCATAGCCCAAGATGCTGGCATCTGCCGGGATTCGTAGGAGCAATTGGAGTTGGGTTACCGTCCAAGCCCTGGATGACTGTACTATTCGTGACATCCCCGTGACCCTGGAAGGGAAAGAAAGTCTGATGTCGACGCCATGCGATCATCTAGTTGATGAAGGATCCAGTCCCGTCATATTCTGTCTGTTTGCTTTGGCTCTCTCAAGCTCCTCGATCTTTTCGTCGATGATAGCTATCTCAGCCTCAATGCTGAGCAGTTTCTCACTCAGGATGCCCCTGTATTCGTCATCAGAAAGGGTCTTGAGTGGAATCCATTTGGAATCTGCTAATCGTTGCAGAATTGGCTTCGATGGCGTATTTGCATGTTCCATCTGCCATGAGTCAATAGCATTGTAAGATCTCTGTCCCAGGTAGCCGAGCAGCGAGAATACGACAACTCCTGGGATGAGACGACCACCTAAGCCGAAATCGCATTAGTAGTGGTTTCTTATCACAGTCGAAAATTTTAAGTAGTCCTTGGAGTTCAAGTACCCATTAATCTAGTCACGGCGCCGCCAGCGATGCCACCAGAGACAGCGCTGACATAGGCTCTCTGTTTTGGGGTGGCCCTATCCTCATAGTGGAGACTTAGGATGTTACTCCTTAGCCCTGCAATCAGTAATCAGCATCATGAGCACATCCAACATCACCGGGAACGGAAGAAATACGACGTACACCAGAAGGAAGTTCCACATGCAAACCAGTGGATACCGCAAGAAATCGAATGGATTACAGGATGAGGAGACCTTATGACACCGGAGATGCCTCCATAAACGAGGCCAGCAGAGCCTGAATGGCGAAAGTCAGCAACTTTTTAGAAGAGACCCGTCATATTGGACCATTGAAGATCTCGAAGGCAAGTTTCTGGGTTGCTTGGGCAGAGTGAAGAACTCACCGCTCAAAGCTCCGGCTTTTAGTGACGCCAACCATACATTCTCTCCTAATACAGGCCGCTGACCATTCTGTCCGCTCATCTTGCGACTGACCAGGGAATGTATATTTGAAGCATGCCGCTGTGGTTGGCTACTTAAATGATGAGACCGCTGTTATCTATCAGAGTAGATGTTCATATGGCGGGACCTCACGTGACCTCAGGTCATGCGCAGACGACGACGACCCTCAATTTCCGATCAAGAAAGATATCGACCATTTAAATACGGAGTACTACTCGGGAGGATTCAGCCGCGTTTCACCTTACTCTATTTACAGCTTTGCACTGATCTGGCTGACTCGAGAAAAGATAGGTACCAGGGTAGGACCAATCTACTTGTGATCGCCCTGAAGCATACAGGGTTATTTTGCCTGTAATACGGTTTGCCCCTCCAGATACCCCTGGACCCAGCCAGGAACCTGCTGTAATATGTTTATATGAATGCAAAATGTTTATACCTATAACCGTCGCTTCGTGTCCTCGTTAGTCTCACTCAACTTTGCACTCTATTGAAATAGAGGCCTGTACTGAGTCTCAGAACCCTGTTGGATATGTGGTATGCTTCCAGGATAATAATCCGCTTCGGGCTAAGGGCACAAGCTTCCCTCCTCGCACTCCGTATTACTGGATTGGTTCAAGATGGCTTGCATTGAGCCGATCAATCTTGAGACAAAGTTAGAAGTGATATATAGTAGTGATTATCAAGTAATAGGCGAACAATTGATTAGTTTATTATCTAAGAAAAAAAAATGCATCTTGCCTCTCCAGGATGTCTTGATGCCACAGCAAGCACCGATGTGACGAAGCCCTGGGGTTGGGTCAAGGCCGGAAGCCGCACCACCACTTTTTTTTTTCCCTGGAGGCTGACTTTTCTAGCGTCATACTAAAAATTATCCTCATGGATTAACCTACTTTCCCCCCTCTGTCCTTTCAACTGCGGAGGTCACCTGCAATAATTCATCGCACGTCTACTTGTTCAAACAACTAGACGTCATTTCTTGAAATCATTTTTATCTTCCTATCTGGAAGTCTTCTTATAACCACATTTAGGCCTATTTAACATCCTGCCCGAGACGCGCACAAGTCCTTGGCGCGTTTCCTGAATTTCCACAACCGCAATCATGGGTATGTTCCACCCCGAACCCCTCCTTCAGTGCATCCCATGAGTCTCCAGATCAGATGCCTCGGATATGATGAATGAGTACTGACGGTATCCGATGAAGCGCCCGCGAAGCAGAAAGCCCAGAAGATGTCTATCAGCACCTTCCTGGCTGATGAGAGTAGGTTCCCACACAAATTCCCCGCGGGGATGGATTGTGCTAAGCGAAACAGGTCTTGGCTCCTGGGCCGACGAGATGGAGGATATGCCTTTGCCTGGTAAGTTGCAACTGTCGTAGATGAGACACACTTGAAAAATGATGGTTTTTGCTGATTTGAGGACTTTGCAGCCGGTATGTACTAGGCGCACTATCGTGATACTTTCCGCCGATAGTCTATTCCACACGCGATAAGGATGACAAGGCTAAAGATGCAATAGCTCCTCCTTCCCAGTCCAGCTACGGAGGTGACCGCCGCGGCGCTGGCCCTTTTTCCGCTGGATTCGGCAATGGCTTTAATGGTATGGCTCCTGGCTTCAATCGGTTAAGAATGCAGTCTGATCCTAGAGTGACACAGACCGCGAACGTGGTGGATATGCGATCAGAGAGCCTCTCCCACTTCCTACTCAACCTCCTTACACCGCTCACGTTGGAAACCTTTCTTTTGAGGCGACCTCGGCCGATATCAACGACCTGTTTGCTGGATGTGGTGTGACGAACGTCCGTATCGTTGAAGATAAGTTGACAAGAAGCCCCAAGGGCTTCGGCTATGTTGAATTTGAGACTGTCGACGGCTTGAAGAAGGCCCTTGACCTCTCAGGTACCACGCTTCAGGGAAGAGCGATTCGTGTCAGCATCGCTGAGCCCCGTAAGTACATTCTCGCATGTTCGACGCATCGTACATAAAAAAAACTGACTGCCCTCAACAGCCAAGGAGCGCGATGTCAAGGAGCTTGACTGGACTCGCAAGGGCCCCTTGCCCGCGGCCGAACAACCTCCCCGTCGTGTGCCCGACCGCTCGACTTTCGGACGGAACCTCGACAACCTCTCCGATGCCGGCAGCGAACGTGGCGGTGGTCGTCGCAACTTCGAGTCGGATGGAAAGATGCGCGATTTCGGCAACTGGGAGCGCAAGGGTCCTCTTTCTCCGGTGAGTGGACCAGTCAGAGAAGGTGGCCGTCCTCGCAGCAACGAAGGTCCCGGGTTCAGAAGAAGCTCGCCCGCTTGGGGTGAGGGACGCTCTCAGGATGGCTCGAGACCCCCGCGCCGCGAATTCCAGGAGCGCGCACCCACTGCCGCCGAACTCGATAACTCATGGAGAGCCAGAATGCGCCCCGATCAGCCCCCTGCCAAGGAACCCAGTAACCCTCCCTCTCCTGCCGCCACCCCCGCCGCCCCTGCTGCCCCTGCCGCCCCCGCCGCGCCTGCCTCTCGCCCCAAGTTGAACCTCCAGAAGCGGACTGTCGCCGAAACTCCGTCCAGCCCCGCTGCCAGCACTGACTCGAAGGCTAGCCCATTCGGTGGTGCTCGGCCCATCGATACTGCCGCCAGAGAGAGACAAGTTGAGGAGCGTCGTCAACTAGCGCTCCGTCAGAAGAAGGAGGCCGATGAGAAGGCCAAGGCCGAGAAAGCCGAGAAGCAGCGCCAATCCAAGGAGCAGGCCAAGAGCGAGAAGCCTGTGCCAGCCGCCGATCCCAACGGCAAGGACAGCATGGACATCCCTCAGGGCGGAAAGAACTTCGAGATCCTCCGGCAGGCCGGTGAGGATGAAAGCGGTGCTACCGAACAAGGCCAATCGGAAGAAGCTCCTGCCGCTGCTGCGGCTGACGAGGCCTCGAAGCAGGCGCCCGCCGGCAAGGCGAACGGTAACTGGCGGAGCGGAGGTCCTGCTCAGCCCGCCGAGGCTGCCGCAGACGAAGAAGGCTGGAGCACTGTGAGCTCGAAGCCACGCAACAACCGTCGTGGACAGTCTGGACGTACATTCGCATAGATTTCTCGATACCCTGATTCATGTCATCGTTCATAGCCGAGTACTACTACGCTGGTTTCGGGAGAAGTAGGGTTCGTCAGTTGTCATTTCTTTCGGATGCCACAACTCTGACGGTGCAGGCTCCATGCTCTCAGCATTTGCTTCTTGGTTAAGTCGATGGCCAGCATTTTCCCCTCCTCTGCCATCCTCTCTACTCCTCCACCTTCTCTTTGGTTCGTGATATCTTTCGTCGGGCTAGATTCCTGAACCACGTCTCGTTACTGCTGACGTTGTCGGGCACGTCGAAAAAGTTCGTGTTTATTTTCTTGTTATGTCTACCCATTTCCTTGTCGTCATCTGTTTCCCCCCTCCCCTTCTCTGAGCTAGCTACTCCCATGTTGTGTGGATTTAGTGTTGTGCACTTATGACCCATCACGGCCTATGTGAAGGAACGGGCTATGTGACTTCCTGAGATGTTTGTACTTCTTCCTTCTCCTTTCCTCGGCAGAATTGGTCTTCTCGCTGTCAACGTATTCCCCCCTCTCATTGTCTATCTTGTTTCGGGATTGGGGGAGATGGAGTGTGGAGTCCTATTCTACTTGTTCTTCCAACGGAGCCATGTCACTTCCTAAATGACGAGACAGCCATGCGAATAAGATTATGACTCTGAAGATAGATGTATGTGCGAAGCTGAGAAGAACATATAATGCAGATGTAGACAACTTTATTGGCGACAGGAAGTGGGAACTACCAGCTTCTCTGACCGCTCCGACGCTGTTAGACGCTGTCCTTGACCAGGCGTGTGAAGCTACATTCCTGTGCCAGCCACTTGGAGATAATACTCCAAGGGAGGGACCCGAGCGACACTAAGCGAAGAGTATTAGCAATTATCTACGGAGTACATGGCTAATCTTCCACAGAAAACCTGTACGTTGCAAGGGATGTCGCTAGAATGGCTGGTGTTTCCTTGGCGATGCTCAGATACTTCATTCCTTGCAAGGGAATAATGTCGATGGCTGAGCGACCTTGACTCCTGCGCAGGCAGGTTGAATCAAGATCCATGAGGTGAAGAGTAGTAATCTGCACCTCTCTATGTATTGATCGATATTGATATACTAGGAGACTGGTTTATTTTGTATCTAGTTCTGGAGGTGACCAGTCAACCACACTAGAACCCACCAGGCGCGGAGACTAAAAGTGATCAGATCCACGATCTACACGTGTACCTTTTAATAGCAGAGTTATTTAACAACAATCAAATCATATAGAGTCGAATATTCTTGTGAATGGTGTACCTCAGAGATTGAGGATTGACATTTCAGGAAAGATCTTGAATAGCAGTTTGCAATGTTCATTGATGAGAGATTTCCTTGCCTTCGGAGACAGCCAAGAGAGGCATGAGAGGCATATTTATAGAATGCGCTAAACAGACTTTACGGACTGTAACTCCAGCCTGCAACACGAATCATGATCCTTCCCCAGCATTTGATAATAATAACTCCTAGTCAGCCTCCCTTTGGCTTCGCTTCCTCACCTCCTTGATTGTTGCACTTACTTACTTACTGTGAGCCTCATGAGACATCTTTTCAGTGCCACTTCTCTTCTTTGTGCAGTGGACACTTCACCGATCAGCACCCCGCTGTTTAAAGGGCCGGACTGGACAACTGGACGACCTGCGACGCCGAGCCTCCATCCTTTCATTTCCGCGACCACAGGTTCAGCTTCGTTTCAGGCCTCAATGCGTTGAGTTCGACCCAGAAGAGCACCTCCAATTACTCCCATTTATGCCTTGATAATGTCAACCACCACAACCACGACTGTGACGGCTACGACCCTCGTGGGAATGCTTCCGGCCATGACGACTGCTGCCCCCAACATCTCAAGGAAGAATTGTCCAACATGTGGCCAGGATGTGTACATGTCGCAGGATCAATTAGTCGAGAGCGCCCGGAAGAGGGTGAAGGAGTTGGAGGGTCAGGTCGAGCTGTTGAACGCGCACGCTACACAGATGGGTAAGCGCGTTGCTACGAACGAGTCAATTACCTGACGGTGGTGCTAACCTGGTTTACGTCTATAGCTGCACAACTGGCCGATTACGAAAAAGAAGTGCGCCGTCTTAGATCGCAAACCAACACGCACACCCCCAGGACGGGCTCCGCGTCGTCCACCTCATCTGCGCCCTCGAATGAGAGCGAGCATTCCCGATCCTCGCCGCCGCAAGCCCAGCACCAAAGTCGCCTGTCGACGCTGACGTCTCTTCTGCCTTACCGTCGCCCTAGCACCGCATCCCCCACCCAGACCATTACTCAGCCGGCACAACTGACCCCTTCTCCCGATCATGCTACGACGGAGCTTCAGACTGCGCTCGAGCGAGAACAGAACCTACGCAAGGCGGCAGAGAGCCAGCTCTCCCAGGCCAGTTCGGAGCTGGAGGAACTGACGGCGCAGCTGTTCAGTCAAGCGAACGAGATGGTCGCGCAAGAGCGCAAGGCGCGGGCGAAATTGGAAGAAAGGGTGGCGGTGCTCGAACGCCGGGATGTCGAGAAGAGGAAGCGTCTTGACAGACTGGAAAAGGCGATGGAGAGGGTGGAGCGGCTTCGAGCATTGGTCGGATAGTCCACAGATGTACAGCCTTTCTCCTTTCTTTTTTTTTTTGCCTCTCTTTGCTTTGGATCTATTATACCCCTGTTTTGGTTCGGGCGGACTACTCCTGCTTTGGATTGTTTTTGACACGATATGGCCTCATGAATGGGCCATGGGCTATGAGTCCATGAGGACCACGACCAGCATTGTTATGACAGGAAGGCGTTTTGATTGGAGAGCATTTACTCTGTTGTTATAGCAATTTTACACCCTGTTGATCACAACATACTAGGACGGCCGCGGAAAATAGTACAATATGACACTAATGACCTCCTTTAACATTTCTGTCCCTCAAGTGACTCGCAAGACAGAACAGTTTGCCCACGCGGACCCGTGTCCGTCATGGTTTAGGCTAAACGCTGTATGGCTTCACCGGGTCGTTTCCACTTTCCACTCTCCACCCCGCCCATCGCATGGGGCGCCAATGAAATGCCACCAGAAGCATGGCAGCTGGATGCTGCATAACCGGATTTCTAATCTTATTCCAAGGTATATAAAATCGTGCATCTGTACACTCTCGATTGTCAATAATATCTGTGTATCTGTTGCATTTAAACTGTCAATATGTCTGTTGGAGTGGCTATCATTGGAAGCGGTATGTCCCACCATCTATATCCGAGATCTAAAGCTGATAAAATCATAGGCATTTTCGCTCGCGAAGAGCATCTGGTACGCCATCCCGCTTTATCATTTGATCTGACTACCCTGACACCAGTCATAGCCCGCAGTCCAAGCAGCAAAGGACTTCCAGCTGAAGGCTATCTATTCCCGATCCCTCAAATCCGCGCAGGATCTCGCAAACGGGACTACGGGCGTTGATCTCTACTCTGAGGACTCTGGCCCCGGAAAGGGTTACGCCGATTTGCTCGCCCGTGAGGATATCGCGGCGGTTGTCATCGCGTGCGTCTGGCCCTCTACCCCTGCGACGATTAAAGACTCATTGGCTAATCAAGATCCGGGCAGCCTCCCCATCCTGGTCCAGCCGGATTTCATCCGCAAGGCCCTGACGGCAGGGAAGCACGTCCTGTCCGAGAAACCGATTGGCAAGGACATTGCCACGGCGCGGGACCTGCTGCAATGGTACCATGCCAACATCGACACCAGCAAGCTCCTCTGGGCCGTCGCAGAGAACTTCCGGTACATGACCAAGTTCCTGCGTACGGCCGAGGAGGTGCAGAAGCTGGGGCCGGTCAAGAATTTCCGGGTAAATTCTCATGCGTTGGTCTCGACGGACTCGAAGTATTTTAGTAAGTTAGGTTCCTTCGCTCTACATCTTATTGCATTTGGTGCGTGGTCTAACGAAGTAGAAACCGCATGGCGCCAAACACCCGAATACCAGGGCGGATTCATCCTTGACGGCGGCGTCCATGTGATAGCAGCTCTACGATTGATTCTCGGGTCGAGCGACCCCGTCACTATGATATCCGCGCAGTCCTGTCTCCAGCAGCAGCATCTCGCTCCCCTGGACACGGTGGACGCGGTAATGAAGACTAGATCTGGCGCTACGGGTGTTCTGTCCTTGTCGTACGGATCAGCGTTTAATGACCAAGTTTTCGAGTTCGACTGCGAGAGAGGCGTGGTCGCCTTGAACTTTGACCGGCTAACGGTCAAAGGAGAGAGCAATGAGCTCGCTTTTGACGGCCGAGGTGTGAGCCGTGAGGTCGACGTATTTGCTACGACGATTGCCAACGGTGGTTCTGTCGACAAGCGACAGAGTCCGGAAGAGGCGTTGGCTGATTTGGAGATTATGGAGAAGATGTTGACCAGTGGTGAGAGAGACGGCGAGAGACAGAGCGTGGAATTACAAGTGTAGATACTCCGTAGATACAACTTGATGGCAGTTAATTCCTTCCAGTATGGTATTGTACTGTAACTTAAATCTGATAGGTACATCCATAGAAAAGTCATGTCTTGGCGAGGGTTAGCCGCTCAAGCCCTAAACACCCGTTCTCGCTTAGCGATCCACTAGCGTCCCCGCTGCACTCAGACTCGCTCGCTCAGGCGGCCAAACCTCAGCGGAAATTTTGAGATTGAACTCGAATCGTCACGACAACTCTCGAGCGCCAGCCAGCGAGACCCAACGATACCGACAAGGTATGTTGATTATTTGAATTTGCATTTGCATTTTGATGCATTGAGATTGTACTGACAGTTTCAAGATGGTCCTCGCAAAGAAGCACGTCCCCATCGTCAAGAAGCGTATGTTCCAGCTCCCTCTGCCAGCCTTTCCCTGCCTCAATCACACGCACAAAATTCGATTCTGGAAGAGATACAAGGGAAAAGATGATTTGGTTTGGATGTGATGGAAGAGACCGATCGAAGAGTTGGAATCAGCGATCGAATAAACACCTCGTTGCGAGCGTTGCATGATTACTTGAAAATTTACACACACACGAGAACATGGAATATCAGGAGGACTGACAACGGATGTGAACAGGCACCAAGCGCTTCTTCCGCCACCAGTCCGACCGCTTCAAGTGCGTGCCGGAGTCATGGCGCAAGCCCAAGGGTATCGACAACCGTGTCCGCAGACGCTTCAAGAGCAACATCCCCATGCCTTCCGTACGTTCAATTCCTCCGACCCTCAGCCGCAATCAGATTCGAATCATCTCGACGAGACAAATCTGGAATCGCTGTGGCCTACCTTTTGCGAACTCCAATGCTGATATTTCATGGATTAGATCGGTTACGGTAGCAACAAGAAGACCAAGCACATGATGCCCTCCGGCCACAAGGCTTTCCTCGTCCACAACCCCAAGGACGTTGAGCTGCTGCTCATGCACAACCGCACCTATGCCGCTGAGTACGTTACGTCTGTCTGAACAAAAAGTAACCCCATACTGATGAATTGGAATAGGATCGCCTCCGCTGTCTCTTCCCGCAAGCGTGTCGACATCATTGCCAAGGCCAAGGCGCTCGGCGTCAAGGTCACCAACCCCAGGGGCCGTGTCACCGTTGAGGCGTAAATGGTGGAATAGGAATGACGAAATAATAGAACGAAAAAATTTGACCCTAGCTTCTTACCTCTTACAAATATACCATGAAGGGGGGCCGGATGGTGGACGTCCTTTTTATTCTCCTCCTCTTTCCTCATCCTGGTGGCTGAGTGTCCGTGGCCGTGTCCTCTGGCGGGTGCGGAAAAGGGTGTCGATTGTCGGTTCCATGTATGGTCGTGCAATCCTCGTGGCAATGACGATTCAAGATATGTGCATCATGCATGCTTTATTGTAGGGCGTATACTGGGTGTACGGGCATCGGTTATGGCAGCAGAACGTAGATCCTTTTGAGGCCATGCTTTCCCGGACCAGTACAGTATGTGCGTAGTTTGTTCATCATAGTAGACTCATCTTAATGCATCTATTTGAGCTAAAATCATGCCATCTATGTATCATGCAGTATCATACCGCCTCCTGGAAGTCCTGCTGCCGAGCAGCAGAAATATCTACAAGCCCAACACCCCTCACCAGCACCGGATTCTCCCTCTTCTCATCAAAACCCTCGACAACCATCCCCTCAGGAATCGGCGTATGGCCAATGACAATCTCCTCCTCTTCCGGGACAGGCACCCAGTCCGGCGCCTCACGCGGCCCATCCATCCCCTTGGGCGGCATCGCCCACGAGGGCATCTTGCTGCGATACTTCCACTGGCCCTCCAGATCAGCGTACGCAACCGCATGCAGAAAGATGCCGAGCTCATGGACGCCCGGGTCGGTGTAGAGCTCCGTGCCGCAGACGTCGCAAACCTCGCCGGAGAGGCGCTCGCCCTTGCGCTTGTGGTAGTCGTGCACGGCGGCCTCATGCTCGCGCGACATGATCTCCTCGACGACGGACGGGTGCGTACCCGGCGGCACGGACGGCACAGTGGTCAGGTGCGTGCGGTACGTCGTCGTCGTGTCAGCGACCTCTGTCTTGCCCATCTCTGAGAGCCGGTCCATGATCTCTTCGTCGCGCTCGGCGGTGGCCTCGTTGCGGCCGAGGTCGGGCCCGAAGACCCGCCGGTTGGAGTAGATCGGGTCGTTGGTGATCGGGTGCCCGAGGAACTGCAGATGCACGCGGATCTGGTGCGTGCGCCCCGTCAGCGGGAGGCAGTGCACGATGCTGTAGCCTTCGGATTCGTTGGCGAGGAGCGGCGGCGGCGTCGCAGGCCGGTCGCCGCTGGCCGTCACTTCGTTCTCGTCGCGCTCGGGGGCGGGCGAGGCAGGCGGGTAGTACGCCAACCGGCGGAACTTGGTCTTTGCGTCTTTGCCGGTGGCGCGCACGCGGTTGAGCCCGAGCTTGGGACTGACCGACATGATGGGCTGGTCGCAGACTACCACGCCGTCCGGGAAGCGGCCCTTGACGCGCGCAATGTACTCCTTTTGCACGGTGCGCTGCTTCAGCTTGATGGTGATGGCGTCCGCGCCCTTGGGGTGCTTCGCGATGAACATCACCCCGGAGGTCAGGCGGTCCAGGCGATTGCAGGGCCGTGGGACGAAATCCTGCCCGCGCTGCGAGCGCAGGATCTCCACGATCGAGTTGTAGTGATACCGGCCGGCGGCGTGGACGGGGACGCCTGCGGGCTTGTCGATCACAATGATATCATCGTCCTCGTGGATGATTCCGATCTCGTGGCCGGTGACGGGGGGTTCATGGCGGTGGAGGGTATGTGAGATGATTTCGCCGTTCTTGAGCACGGTGTCGGGGGCCGCGGTTTTGCCATTGACGGTGACCTTGCCGTCCGCAAGGGCTTGTACCTGCATGTGCATTAGCAACAGCGTTCAATCTGATACAGTCTGGAGAACCCACGTAGTACTCGGGCGGCCGATCTCTGAACTCGGACGTGAAAATTTCCTGCAGCTCCCGATTCCGCCATCGCTCCTTGCAGTAGGTGTTGTATGTGTAGTAGTAGGGCTTGACCCTGCGCAGCCCACCTTCAAAGTAGTATGGGATCGGCCATGGATCGCATGGAGTGACGGCGACTTTCGGGGGCTCTTCGACGGGGTCCGGAGGAGGGACTCTGAGGGTGGTGTCGACGGGGACGACAGCCATGCTGGACGCGGGTATCCTGCCTCGTCGCAGCAGGTATGCAGTAATGCGAGGAGAAGGAGCCAGGAGTAGATATCAACAATCTCGTAATAGTGTGCGTTCGTGTACGTTTGTGTTGTTGTGAAGGCAAAAAATAGCCACTGAAAAAAAAAAATATCAAAAAATAAATTAGTGTTGCGGGGAAATCATATTCAGAGGTACAGACAGTCAACAACTGGATAAAAATGGCTATATACTATCGATATCTAAAATTTTATTATAAGGTCCGATAGCGATATATTTACTCTCTAGAATACTCATCTCCTCTTCAATATGGCGATATCTTGGCTGTCAATCATGACTGTTGTCGCGATCACATTCCCCGCCCCAGGCACATATGCATAATCCTAACCTATTAGTAACACTGCATAAACTATGCAGCCAATCAAATGTGCTGGCATCTGAACCTCGGCTCCTTGGTGCCTGAGGTCTCCGAGCATCGACATCGACATCAGACAAATACAACAGCACTACCACTACCTCTCTATAAGAAACTAGAAATTACTTTGCATCAAGAGAATTGTATTAAAAGCGCCTTTGTCCGAAATTGAATTCTGATTGCGAGCTCGACCTGGACGAACAACTATCACCATCGTCAGTTATATATAACTCCACTCGCATCCTCAAAGTAGCCGCCGTCACTATAACTCCACAACGGCGTACCAACAATATGTCTCCCAAAGAGGAACTGGAAGCCAAAAAGCGCCGCAAGCGAAGCGACTATGTCTTCCACCAGGAATACCGCACCCGATGGCAAGCAGCTTATCCTCTTTCCTAACCAATTCCCAACCGCCGACTAATAAAGCCCAGGTTCGACAACGACATGTACGCCCACCTCAACAACACCGTCTACGCCATGCTCTTCGACTCGATCGTAAACAGCTGGCTCATCGCCGAGTGCGGGATGGATCCGTTCAACAGGAACAAGTCCGCCGACAGTGACACTGAGCGGAACATCTCCCAGCAAGTCGGGATCATGGTCAACTCGTACTGCGACTACTTCGCCTCGGCGTCGTACCCGGATGTACTGGATCTAGGGCTGCGGGTTGCGAGGCTGGGGTCGTCGAGCGTGACGTATGAGGTTGGGGTGTTTCGGCGGGGGGAGGAGGATGTGAAGGTTGTCGGGGGCTATACGCATGTGTTTTGTGCGAGGGAGACGATGAGGCCGGCGGAGGGGGGCATGGAGGAGAGGGTTCGACGGGGGTTGGAGAGGTTGGTTGTTAGGGAGGGGGCTAAGTTGTGATTCATCGGTGTCTTAAGGGTTAAGTATCATTGTGGTGCAGGTGTTACAGATGATAGACCACCATCTGATCCTACATACACCCAGCATGGAAATAGAATCACTCTGGTTATCTGTGACACTGGCGGTGATGTTGTGTGTTCGTTCATAGCTAGTTATTCCCCATGGTTGGGTTTGATTTCAATTATGGACCGAACATTTTGTTTTCCATTACTCCTGCTGATAGCAGGCTGTAGCAACTAGTAATCAACATAGACCCAATATGTGGGACATCAACAACGCTGTTTTATAGATCATGGACGAAGCAACAATAGCAAGAAACGTCTATCCTTCTAAACCCAAACCCAAACGCCATCGCTAATCAGCCTTTGCCGATATACACTTCGTCCGATGATTGCATCAGCAAGTCATTTGCGATGGAAACAATAATAAATATAAATAAACAGACACCCGCTGGAACGCTGTTGGCGACATTATGAGATAAGGTAGTCGTCGGAGTAAAGAGGTGAAACGAGTGGAAGGATGATGAGATGATGTGCCCAAGGTACAGCCGAGCTAGCCCATCTTGGTGGGGACGATGCTGCTGGACCGAGAGACGTTGGAGCTTTCTGGAGACAGGACGCGCTGCATCGTCTTTGTGTCATGGTCGTAGTGCCACTTTTGATACGGGCCAGGGATGAACTTTCCTTTGGCGTCCCATCCGGCGACCCAGGTGTAGCCGTCATCAAGAAGGAAGAAGAGCAGTTTTTCCGGCTTCGCGCCTTCGTGCAGAGTCACCGACTGCCAGCGACATCTGTCTTCCATTTCGTGCTCAAAGATGTATCGATGGAGAATGCGGCAGTAGACAAGTGGGACGGGGACTTTCTCCTCGTATTCGCTGCCGTCCTTGCGAACGAGATGCCATCCCAGACCGGGGATGTATTTGTAGGTGCCAGGAACAGGGCTTTCCCAATGTTCCTCTTGGTAAAGAGATCCTTGAATGCGCTCGCCCCGTTGGAACCAGTACGTCGGGCAAAAGACAGCCCGAAGGCAGATGAAGAGATTCGGCGCCATGAGTATTAGATATTGAATGTGGACGAACAGAGAAGAGGATGGATCAGGACAAAATGGAGAAGAAGAGTAGAAATCCAGAGGAAGCGCTCAGTTGCAGAACTTTTTTTTGCGATTCGAGAAATGAGATAGGGAAATCAGCGTGGTCATAAGTTGATATCCATCGTGACGGTCGTACTTCGAAAAGGCTTCGTAGTGGCTGGAAGAAGATGGACAGGGATAGACGGTGATGCTATCGCTGGCGCGACACCAATGCCCGAGGGCCAAAGTCCCCGATGATTGAGAACCCGAGTGGGATTCGTCCAAGGGCTTTCGACCGCTTGTTACTTGGCTGCTTCTGAGAGCAGGGCCAGAGTCAGGAGTAGGAGCAACGACAAGGCGCTGGCTGCAATGATGCGGTGTGTATCACAGCCCGGGAGGCGTGACGACTGACGGAGTTCGAATCTCCTAGAAATATCCTGGACACCAACAGGACGAGGAACGCAGTGATAGTCTGATAGAAGGTAGGTATGGAGAAAGGCGATCGAGCCCCGAATGTGATAGAGAGCAGTGCAGCAGTCACCCTGTGTTACAGCTCGTCAAGAGCGCATGGGGGAAATCTCGACTCTGACTGGACGATAAGGAGAAAAGGCATTATGCAAGTTGAGAGATTGAGGTATTAGAAGGAGTGTTAAGGTCAAACGCCTTTAAATGAAGATGGTTGTGTGCGCGTTCGCACAATTCGAGGCGGTCTGAGGTCAGCCCCGTAGAAAAATTTTGATAGTCAGGATCACTCCACTCCTAAACAGGGACGAACCAAGCTAGAAGAACTAGACCTCCTCAAAGAACGGATTCGTCGTGATAGCTTTGCAACAGTCCCATAATTCCGGCGACTCGGACCAACAAAATGCTGCGCCGGTGGAGCTGCACAGGGGAAACTCTGCGCCGCGGGAAAGCCGAGACCCACACCAGTAGTACATGGTAGTATTTTTATCGTGCGGGATTTTATTTTTCTCTTCTTACTTTTCTTAGATTCAACTCTATATCACAGTCATTGTCATAGCTGAGTCAATTAATTCGACTTAACTGTACGGAGTCCTATGGCTAGATCTCCAGGGGTCCGGGAGATGCGCTTTTTGCTTTTTCCTTCCATAGTCGTGGGTTTAGCATATCCAACCTTCAGCAAGCTAATGGAATAAGCCGTTAGAATTAGCTGTGGCTGTCGGGAAATGTCGTAAAGCAGCCCTGAGGAGTGAGGAGTGAGCACTTGAAAAGAGTAACCAAGCCATCTTGGCAAAGTCTGGGCATCAACACCGCATTATCAATTGCTATCCACTTCGACACAAAAATCTTGATGCCTGATCATGTAGTTTCCATCTTCGCAGTAATCAGGGGAGTCCTCCACTGTTAAACAGTGACTTTTTCACGTATTGCTCGACGTCCTCCATCTCTGAGGCTTGAAAGCATGTCATCAACTCAATCAATAGGGGTTTCAGGTTTTCCGTCACAGCACAATCCTTGAGAAGGCAAAGCCCGTCACCCATAACAGGAACAGACATGGTCCCGTCGATCGTTTTGAATCGGGCTTGGACAGCAATTCTTATTCCTCAGATAGAGGAAGCTCGTCATCATTTGCATGAGACGCATAATGAGTTTGAGAGACGGTCGATGGAGGTAGAGTTCCGCCGAAGTCAGTGGCATATGGTGGATGATTCTCTGCCTCGCATCCGCAAATCTTCCATCGCCTTTAATCAGGTTCCTCGAAGCTGGACAAATCACCAGACATTTATATGACCTTTCAATATAGTATTCAGAACGGGTTATTATTACCAGGAAGAGTCACCTCTGGAGCGAGTATTTTGCATGTAGTGATACCTTATTTGGTGGATACCCGATCTGCGTTCTGCAGCTCGACTATTAGCAGCTGTCATATCCACCAATAAGATCACGATGAGGTACACAGAGATCTTCACTCATGCAGTTTCGCCCTGATATTTAAGCCTGATATTTAAGCGGCTGCTTGCAACATCTGGATGGCGGCTTCTTTTCTGATGGCAAAGTCTGCGCATGGTGCATCCTTCTCTCCTTTCCTGATCTCCTTGCAAACACGTTCTCACCTCCAGGTCTCTCGTGGTAAAAGTCTGCACCCAAATGCTAGGAAACAGGGATCAATGACTCTGTCAGTGCTGTATCTATCCTGGCGACCACAGGATGAAAAGGATTGATACTCTCATGGTCATGATCATCTGAGGACGACAGCACCGCCAGAGATAGCCTGTCGCATGGGGGCATAATTAGGGCCATTCTCAAGGAGCCCAAGTCGTGATCTGATTTTCTAAGCTCAACCAGATCCTTCCTCACTGGTTAAGGTACCACTTTTTGAAGCATCCGCGCAATTTGACTATCGGTGGGCGCCCTCGTCAGCGCTCTGTGCTGTGCCACCAAGCGGCATGTCACTGACCTGACTTGCTGATCAAAATTAGCCGAAGGGAACTGCAACCGCGTGCTTCAAGCCACCTTCAACGACGGCTACGAGGTAATTGTCAGACTTCCATACAGAATAACCGTTCCGAAACGTCTTGCTACAGCGAGTGAGGCGACTACGCTGGATCTGCTTCGGGATAATGGTGTTCCTGTGCCAAAGGTGCTTGGCACAGAGTACATTATGCTGGAGAAGCTCGAGGGAATACCCTTGAGCGAAAGGTGGTTCTCTATGAATAATAGAAGTAGAGCCACAATAATGAAACAGATTGTGGAGGTGGAGAGGTGACGATCCCTCTACCCACAAGTGGAAGTTTGTTTTCTCGCAGAGATCTAGGAGAGTCGCAATTGATTGTCCCAATCCCTGGACAATCCGATCAGGTCGTCCTTGGTCTTACTGTGCAACATGAGTGGTGGTACCGTGAGCGCAGATCTATCAGATGTTGACCACGGCCCAGAAGTATTAACCGAGGACTAGGGAGAACCTATCTCGCGTGTCCGGAGGCTTCTGCAAAACGCAAAATGCGTACTACCAACGCTATGGCACACCTCGTCTTCACGTTAAAGCTACCTACGGGCGCTGCATCAGTTCAAACCAATATCGCCAGCCGTTCACACTCATCTCTCCGACTACCTAAAGCTAGCGCCTTATCTGGACATTCCGTCCGACCATCCTCTGGCGCGGCCTGTCTTCGTCATCCAGATTTTTCGCCGAATAATATATTAGTCAAACCATCCAACGGCATCGTAGGAGTCATTGACAGGCAACATGCGTGGTCCTACGTCTACGATTATGGCTGGTATACCCGACCACTTCCAGAACTGGGGTGATCCGATATCAGAAACACTTGCAAGACCAGAAACCCACTACCAGGGAATATCGAGTCTCTTTACCGAAGTGAGCAAGAGCTGATTCAGGAGACCATGCGCGATCATGCAAGTTTGTGATCCATCAACGATGGCTTCGCTTTTTTCCCGGGCGAAATCGTCTTAGCGCAGGACGTGGTTGCATACGACCGACCCGTTGGAAGAGTGGAGGGGGGAAAGGGGGAGGTTTAGTTGGGAAGGGTGAAATATCAGTTTAAGAACGCAAATAGTCGAAGCTATCAGGGATAGGATGGATTGTTTCAACATTCCCTAACCCTGGGTGCGTCAATATTGAGATTGTGGAGATGTGTAATCAGGGGACGGAGATTCCTCATACATACACAGTAATACGTCGTACTGGGACCCAACGACACGAGTTCACTAATCAGAATCACGATCGACATAGGGGAGACAGAGATATCTAGAAAGGGTACTCCCTAAGCGGAAACGGTGAGTAAATGGAGGCCTAGCGAAAGGCTCCGGTCATCTCCGGCGATCTGTCCGCCAAAGTCAAGTTTGCCGTATCCACAGCCACCAACACGACACAACTGTAGCATTCATCATACTTGTCTGCCGAGAGGAGGGTGTCTAGTAGCTGACACCATGGATATTATCATCTGTTCTTCTCGCCTCGCGAGCCTCGCGGATAGTCGCCGTCTCGCTTTCAACCCCCGAGAAGGCCATGTCCGAAGCCATCGTTGAGCAGCAACATAACCTGCTAGGGCAAGCAGAGCAGATTGCTCTCGACTTTGACCTTAGTTCTGAGCATGTCCGACGAGTGACGAGACATTTCGTCCGCCAGCTGAGTGAGAATGACTGAAATCTTCGTGGTGTACAAGATGCTGACGGCTCCAGGGGACGGCCTTGCCAATCATCGCGTCTGGCAGCTACCAACCTATGTAAGAAGCGTGCCGACAGGAAAGGAAAAAGGCCGGGTCCTCGCTGTTGATCTCGGCGGTAGCAATTGCAGGATATGCCTTGTCGACTTGCATGGCGACTCTACCTTTACCGTGACGCAGAGCAAGCACAGCGTCCCGCCGGATGTCATGATCAACAGCAGCTATCGACCTCTCTTTAAATTTATAGCGCAGAGGATAGAGAAATTCCTCGATTCGCATCTGGAACCTGCTAGCCAGTCACCGTACAGGCTGGGTTTCACGTTCAGCTTCACCTGCGAGCAGACGTCCCTCGCTGGCGGGCGTCTCATACACTGGGACAAAGGCTGGGATATCCCCGACGCCCTTGGCCGGGATCCCTGCGTCATGTTGCAAGAGGCCATCGACGAACTGGGGTTGCCGGTTGTGGTGACCGTTCTGGCCAACGATAGTGTTGGCACGCTTTTAACAAGAGCGTATAGCTCGGGTCCGCAGGCTTCAACACTCGGTGCGGTCATCTTCGGGACGGGGACCAACGCCGCATACGTCGAGAAGCTGGCCAATGTGCATCGACTGGGTGTCAAGGCAAGCGCGGACGACATCATGGTGATGAACACGGAATGGGGCTGTCTCGACGACAACATGGAAGTCTTACCGCGGACATCATTCGACGACGCCCTCGACGCAGCGTCGGTCGATCCGGGCACGCAGATGTTTGAAAAGAGGGTTTCCGGCCTGTACCTCGGGGAGCTACTCCGGCTAATGATTGTCCAACTGCTGCAGGCGGATGCGTTTGACATGAAGGTCGGCAGGACCTCGAAGGTCTTTCAGCCCAGTGGCATCGACTGTCCCTTTCTCTCCGGGCTTGCCTTGATCGACCGGGACGACGTCGACAGCGCTAAAAGTTTCATCCAGGACACACTGGCCGCGGAAAGTGTCAGCCAAGTCGATGTGCAGGCCATACGACTACTGGCCTCGTCCATTGCCCGACGAGCAGCACGTCTAGCAGGCGCATCACTAGCAGCCATCATCATCCAAAGCGGGCGCCTCGGAATTCCCAATAAGCGCTCAAGACAGACGACCTCTGTCTCCATCGGCAGGCAGCATATTGTAACTCCCCGCTGGCGTCGCGTTTTGAGCTGCGTTGGAATGAGCTCGCTAGCCAGTAAACCACTACCACGGCATACAGTCACCCAGACCTGTCTGGACGAGGACATCATCGACATCGGGGCTGACGGCTCGCTGATCGAATTCTACCCGGGCTTTGAGGTCGAGCTGCGTGGCGCAATGCGGGATGTACCCGAAATTGGAGAGGCTGGTGAGCGAAGGATCCGCATAGGCCTTGCAAAGGATGGGTCCGGTGTTGGTGCTGCCCTGATGGCACACGCAGCGAGTCAGAGTGAGTAGAAAAGTAGAAGAGAATAAATTGAGAGTATTCGGAAGAACTATAGAGCACATGAGGAGCTGAGCTTAGATTGAGCAATATATATAGCCTTATAATCGGCATTCTTTGATCTATTTATATTCCTATACTAGGATCTTCCAGGATAGGAAGAACCAGTTATCCAACTCGTATACTACTAACTCAACCCAGGAAGCTAACAAGTAAAGCTATAGCTATACAGCGCCAGCAGCACCTAACCCCACATGCGCATAAGTCGTCCGCACATAAGCAAGCTCGAAACCAACCCTCTCGGCATTAACAGCACTGGCTGTACCCGGCCGAGCCTCAACAACAGCTACCCTGCAGCCCAGCTCAACCGCATCCGACAGTCTTGCGCGCATTAACAGGCGCTGGATGCCTTTCCCCCGCGCCCAGGGGAGCACGCTATCAATGTACAGGAGTGCGATTCCGTCAACGATTGCCATACCCGCCGAGGCGGCCACCTTGCCGTCGAGACGAGCGAGGTAGAGGTGTGTATCTGACAGCGTTCGGTGAGCAGCACTTTGCGCGAGGAGGTGGAGGAGGGTTGGTGGGCGGCCTTCGCTGCGGAAGCCGTCGATAGAGGCCGTGATGAATGTGTTGAGGTCAGCGTGTGAGACTTTGGTGATTTGGATGGGGTCGTTAGATGCTAAGGCGGGGTCGCTGTGTGCGAGAGGGAGAGACATGGCGTAGACGTTGATTGACCCATTCGGGCTGTACCCGTTTGCCGTTAGGAGAGACGATGCGGATGGATGCGCGTGCGAGCATAGGTCGATTTCCAACTTTGTGTTGCGCTGTTGGCAGAGATGATGAAGGGTGTCAAGACTTTCTGGTTGGACGGGACCGTCCATCCCCCAGCCTACGACATGGTTGAGCTTGCGGCCGTACTCGGAGGGCGATATCATGGCCAGGCCTGGGGAGAGGAGATGAGAGGTGAATTTGTCGGTGCCATGGAGAGTCTGGAGGGAGGTGACCTGGTGACTGAGGTGAGTTGCTGCTGCTGCTTCCAGGGTGGTGGGATCCATTGTGGCGGCTGACATTCTGAGGTGATAATTTTGTCATGCGTATATATAACTACGTGAATGCTGGAGGTTCTTATGTCAAAAATGAGTCATAGGGCTCTAAGCGTGATCTTCTGTACGGTAGGCGCTAGCAGTGTAGCAGTATACACTCTCTAATATTATCAGCTAGCCTTCCTGAAGCAGGTCAAAAATGAAAGAACTACTAGCATTGGTACGATCATTCCCATTCGGAAATTATGACTCAATGTAAACCCTTCTACTCGGTGCCCTTAGAGCGTATTCTAGTCCCCTGGTACAACTCAACCGCCCTAGTCGCCAACGCAGTCGTAAGACCTCGATTACCAACGTTCATCTTGGACGACCCAAACCGGTAAAACGAGCCGGGTTCCCACGATCCATCCTTGCATTGCAAGGCGAGCAGCTCTCGGACATCCACTTCAACTTGTGATATACCCACAGACAAGCATGCCAGGATCCGCATAGCCAGTGACAGAGTGTCTGCCTTGACCTGAATGCGCTCCTTGAGGCGATCCGTGAGCAACGTCTCCAGCAGCTGCAGCGTCGGTTCCCTCTTGGAGAACCGGCAGAGTTGACTGACAAAGTAGAGGAAAACCTCCGGGCTGGGGTAGTATCGCGTACCATGTAAGTGCGCACGATGCTCAAGAACGTCGGACACCCACTGGAGGGTCAATGGGAGAGTGGCGCCCCGGCCGTAGGTATAAAAGAGACGGAGGACATTGACGCAGACTGCTGGGTCGATTCGCTGTCGGGTCTGGTCAAAGTACGTCTGTACGGTCTTAGTATGTTGCTAGTTGCGGACGGGTGCATACGAACATTTACAATGCCCTCGTCATTAGCTACCTCGGAAATCTCGCCGAGAACCGAGTTGACTGTGTTATCATCGGCAGGGAGAATCATCAAGGCAATGGATGTTGTGTCGACATCATCTGGGAATGTTTCCGACGTAGAAGGGGGACCTCCTAAGGGGTGGTTAATCACAGAAAGCTATTCATCGATTGATCATACCTTGAAAGAAATTCCAGCTCCGCTGCTGATATTCAAGGTTGACCAGGCTTCTATCACCCGTCGCCTCTAGGATGAGCAGCTGCGAGAAGTTTTCCCGGATGACTTGACCAGTCTCGCAGATACTATACAATGCCCCAGCATTGCGCCGTAGAAACTCTCGACCCCTTTGTACAGGGTCCAACACCAGATTTCTGAGCTGTCGACTGAGCTCACCCGCACCGGTGTAGACAATGCCGTGCATACCTGTTGACTGCGCAGAAACTACATTCTCTAGCTGATCATCAATAAAGATGATCTGATTTGGCGGCACTGCAATCTCCTGCAAGACTTTCTTATAGAACAACAGCTCCGGCTTCCTCGTCCCATAGCATCCAGACGGGAACACTCCGTCAAAGATGCCCATTTCGGGCTGAGTCTGGAGCACAGCTGCATAAGCTGGGGCGGAAATGTTGGACATGGCGTAGATGGCAATATGTCCGGCCAACGCTCTGATCTCTGATATCAGGCTCACGATTGCTGCGTCTGTGGTAAGAGACTGCTGTGCTTTCCTTAAGCTGCGCGCGATTTCCGACGAGTCAACGTCAAACTGTTCGGCCAGTCTCTCGTAGCAGCTTTCTTCGCTCAACTTGCCGCGCTCGTAATCTGACCAGGTTGGCGAGGTAAGCATTTTCTTGAAGAGGTTGGGCAAGACAGCAGTGTCTTTGGGGGCGTCCCAGGTGAAAAAGACATCCCCTAGGTCAAAGATGATTGCTTTGTATTGAGGCGATTTCTGTCGGGTCATGGCGGATCTATGGTAGGATGGATCAAAGGATGGAATGGGATACTAGGTTAGAAGTCTTCAGCCATGAGACTCTGCCTATTTATAGGAAATAATCATCGTCTCTGTAGAGCCACGAAAAGCGTCTACCTGGATTTTATGATTAATCATCACCTTTGATAGAGCTGGGTAATACAGTTAACAGGGCCAATCAAGACTGACCGAGATGTGCTCCTGTGAGAAGATGGAATCTTACTGCAGTAATAGGTACTGGGATTGTACTTTGAGTAGAAGTATAGATTTGTATCCGTTGCTGGATGGCTCACATGTAGTTATATGAAAAGAGCGGGAAACCAAACCCCAAATACCGCGAGTCTGGGCCGGGCTATGCAACCTCTATTGATGCATGGGCAGAAGATAGACTTGTAAGCTGGCTGTGGTTGGATTTGGTCAGGCCACTATGTTTGATTGAAAGATTGACATCGTTCTGTATCCTCTTGTCAAATTGATCGTAGAAATTCTATTAGTTTATTCGACAGTAACCAATCAACAGGCAGAGTCCAGCCTTTCAAAGCGTGATAGATATTCTAGCACGAAGACGTTCGCCATATCTGTAGAAAAGAAGAGGCCCCGGGACAAATGCAAGGGCAAGGAATCCTAGCAAGGTATTGCCCCAACCGTAGTTCAAAGCATCGTACATGCTTGGTCCCGCCAGCGGCAGAAAGGTACTGAAAATGTAACGCAGGAGGTTATTGGCCCCGAGCGCAGAGGCTGCAGCTTGGGAACCAAATACGTCGACCAGATAGAGCTGCGCGGGCATCTGTGTGGATTAGAGGTTTGCATTGAATCGGGGGGAAAAGATTGGATTACGTACCATGACGAAAAAGGCCCCACAGCCCATAAAAGCAGTGCCGACAATAGGTACCATCCAATGGACCTTGTAGTAGGCAGTCCAGCCGTATATGAAGAGGCCAAGGCTAACAAGCGGACTGAACCAGATCATAGGAAGTAATCGGTACTCCGGCCGGGGCTGTTGCAACCCCTCAGCCTTCGATTGCGCTGACTGAAGGCGGCCATTCAGGATGTTGAATATCAGCATGCTGGCGACAAGGGAGACTCCGAGACCGAGGTACACCAGCCCGGACACGGAAGTGCTGAACCCGTACTGGCCCTCGAATACGCCGGTGAAGGTGGTAAATAGCAGATACATCACTCCAAACACCAAGGCCACATAGAGGGATATGACAAAGAGGATAGGCGACCGGAACAGAAGCACAGTAGGGCGGATAAGAACCTGGAGGAGAGCCTGACGCGGGGAGAGGGGCTTTCCGGCAAGCTTGGAACGGAGATGATGATTCCTAGGGTCAGCGCGGAGACTGGCAGTTTTACGCTCGAGGAGGACCTTGGGATGTGTTTCGCTCATGATAACAAAAGCAGCAATACCAAAGGATCCTCCCAATATGGCTAGTAACCAGAAAGTCCAGCGCCAGCCTTTACTTGCAGCGAGGAAGCCTCCAATGACAGGGCCAAGGACCTGGAACGAAATCGAACTGGTTATCAAACAGCTCAAAAGGCAAACGAGGACACCCAGAGATAAGACTTACCGGTCCTGCGAGTGGTCCCATGCTAAAGAAAGCCATCGCAACCGCCCTTTGCTCAATAGTGGTGATGTCTGCAATGGTTCCTCCGCCTAGAGCCATGGGGGTGCCGCCCGCACAGCCTGATATGAATCGGAAGACCAGGAACTGACCGACGTTCCGGCTCAGCGCATTGCCAATAATGAAGGCGACGAAGATAATATTAGCAGTATGGTATACCGGCACACGTCCGTACACCTCGCTGAGGGGAGACATGAACATGGGCCCAATGGCCAATCCAAGGACATACAGAGTGATGGCGAGGGTGCTGACGGCACTGGAAGTAATTCCAAGATCTGCAGAAATACCGCTAATCCCAGGTGCGCACATTGTCGGAGCCATATTCCTATCTCAAGGTAAACGCTCTGACACAGCACCTTACCACTAGAGGGACAGTACTTACGTGGTGAGAGCTAAAATGGAAATAGTGACAATATGCGTCCATTTCTTGAGCTTCGGCCAGTTTCTGGGATTGGTGGGATCGTCGGTACCGTCCCAGTCGACGAGGTTGGCCTCATCCAGCTCACTGTCAATGCCTTTTTCCAACTGGTCCGTAACCATATCTGAGATACACTCGGACTTGGACGTGATGTCACGTCGGGACGCAATGTACGTTGAAAGCACTCCGAAAGCAGAGAGATGAGCTGATGAGAAGAAGAAAGATGATTAAATTATCCGCGCAAAAAATGTTGATAAGAGGCATTGCTGCGTTTAAGAGACTGTCACTGTGGGCAAGACCATGTAGACAACCTGCGAGGTAAGACGGAGATAGGAGATTCAACTCATTGAAGGCTGGCATGACGACCATGACGGAACTGGATGATGTTCTCCAGTCTGAGTATTCACACCGAAGGCAATTAGGAGGATCGGAGCTTTGATAAGTCATGGTGTAGATAGAAGATAGGACTGTCACTGGAGATTTGTATGTACTCATGTCGATCATCCGATGTGGGGCTGCGGAAGGTCGGACGATCGGATCGGAGGATCGGGGGATCGATATTGACTTATAGTCATCAGACCGACCTCTTTACTTGATTTTCTGCGTGTCAATGCTCGGTCTATTCAGTATGGACACGGACATGCAGCTGGAGATGGAGACATGATACAGGAATCTTCCACCAGTTTGTTTTTATCACGTGATCGACACTACTATCATCGGTCTTCTCTTCCCCTGCCACAGGCTGTTCCCCAGCTTATCAACATCGACTCTTGCGGCGGAGGCCCGTCGGACCGTCTTGCGCTTCACGGCATTATGTCTGCTGGAAAGTCAGCTAAAGCTTCGTAGACAATAACTTGGTTCGCAGGGTGACAAAAGGGGTACCCGGACAACGCGAGTTGTCTGTAGCGCGCGCAAATAATGCCCACTAGGAGCAACATGAACCCAATCGCATTCGGGAGAATGCCAACAACAGATTCAAGGCCTTGCTCATTGGAATTGCCATCGCAAACACCTCGGGAGACGGACTTGACTACGTCACGACCGCTTCCACATCCCAGTCGACGCCGAAACAAACCTCAGTTGTCTTGCAACTCGTGTCGACGTCGAAAGTAAGTGGCTTGTGTGATTTTCTATTTGTCTAATTCTATGAGACGCAAAGCTTAATATTCATGTTCTGCAGATCAAAGTGTGACCGTCAAAGGCCTTGCTCATTTTGCTCGGCTCGCGGTCAAATATGTACATACGCTGAAAATCTTCCCACTACGAGCTCGCCAAAGCCGTCTGCAACCGCTGTGTCTACTGTACATGACCGGCTTGTACAGCTGGAGCGCTTGGTTACGTCAATGATGCCCAGGTCCTTGAATGAGAGACTCGATGCTAGTTCGTCTGCCGAGGTGTGTATGCTACCAATGCCCGCACGGAACACTCCAGCCGAACCTATGCCGATAGATACATCAGTTGATGGACAGTCTGAGTGTGGGAGCATGCGAATCAGTGACTCAGAGCTTCGCTATGTTGGGGGCGATCACTGGGTTGCCATACTGGACGGTATCGCCGATCTGAAAGACCACCTTGACCGCGAAGAACAGTTGCGGCTAGCTCAGAGCTCCGACCTCGTCGAGGATGAGCATGAGGTCGGCCATAGCAGTGGACAATTTGCAAGGGCCCGGTCCAATGGTGCATTTCTGCTGTATGGATGTCGCCGCGCGACGTCACGCCATGAAATACTCTCTGCACTGCCCCCTAAATCCGCCGTCGATCGCTACATCTCTCGCTACTTCAACTACTTAGATCTTGTATCGTCTTGTAGGGACACTCCAATTCACTGGTGCCAAGTCTAATGCTCATTTTCGCTAACGCGGTTCAGCTGCGGTTCACGGACCGAGCTTTCTGCGCGAGGTAAGTGGAACATGCTCTACACCCCAGCCACAACGACGCTGTTGTTAATAGATACAGTACGAGGCATTCTGGGCCGATCCGTCCGATGTCTCAATAATTTGGGTCGGACTTCTCTTCGGTATGATCTGTCTTGCATGTCTAGCGTCTGACCCGCCCGATGGACCCGATGCCGAGCAACAGTCCCTCCAAATCAATCTGTACCGCGAAAAAATTGTGCAATGCCTAGTTATGGGCGAATATACCAAGTGCGGGCCGTACGCCTTGGAAACACTCATCAACTATGTCTATGTTGAGTTCTGCATTCGTGCCGATGCCGCCAAGGACATCTGGTTCCTGCTTGCCCTGGAAGTCAACCTCGCCCGACGGATGGGTTACCACCGTGATCCTGGTCATTTCTCCGGCATTTCGCCCTTCCGGGGCGAGATGCGCCGGCGGCTATGGGCGACAGTGCTAATGAGTGATATTCTCATCTCCAACCAGATGGGCATGCCACGGATGATCTCTGACTGGCAGTACGATACTGCGGAACCGCGGAATCTCAATGACGCAGATTTCGACGAGGATACCGTAGAGTTGCCTCAACCGCGACCCGAAACCGAGCACACGACGGCCCTGGGTATCATCGCGCGCAGGCGTATGTTGAAAGCGCTCGGCATCATTGCGGACCTCACGAGCGCAGTGCAGCCCTGCAGCTACGGAGAAGTCATGCGAGTAGATAGTCTCTTACATGAAGCGGCTGCGAGCATTCCGCCGCCGCTGCAGATGAAACCCATGGCGGCTAGCGTGACGGATTCTCCACAGGTCATCCTGGCCCGGCTGTTCATCAGGCATATGTTCTACAAAGGACAGATCACGCTGCATCGGCGATTTCTTTACATGCGGTCACCATCTCAGAATGAGGATGTTTTTGACTATTCCCGGAAGGCGTGTCTTGATGCCTCGCTGGAATCCCTTGCGATCCAGCACGTACTCGACGAAGAAACCTGTCCAGGAGGCCAGCTTCATACGATGCGCTGGCGAGTCACTTCCATAATGAACCACCAATTTCTCACGGCCACCATGATCCTGTGCTCGTTATTGTATCACGAACAGACACTACAGCGGGAAGATGAGATCCGTGGTGCGCTACAGAGAGCAAGGACAGTATGGATGCGCAGGCCCTCGACTTCCAAAGAAGCAAAGAAGGCCGCTGAAACGATCAATATCGTGCTTTCCAAAACTGGAAAAAGTCGGGAAGGGGATGGTCGGCTTAAAGAAGACGCCAGCGGAGAGGCTGGGGAGCAAAGCGCTCAAAGGAGTCCCCCGATCATGCAAGACGCACTTTTTGGCATTACTTTTGGCGGAGAGAAGGGCGTAACGGATAGCATCGGCTTCTATGAACGTGAGTCTCCCATTGACACACCCAAATAGGTTGGGCTGACCCTACTGTAGCTGACCCATTCATCATGCCCGAATTGCTGGGTACTTTCCTGCCGCTTGATCTGCAGGGTCAAGATCTGAGCTTCGACGTCAATAATCCTAGGCTATTTTCGGACGAATTGATGCCTACAAACTGGCCCGGGTCGTAAACCACAGATACTAAGTTCTCTCTCTGTATTGTCACAGTCGCCTCGGCGTATCGACGGGTTATCTGCGCCCGCAGGAATAGAGTCATTATCTTGGTACGGCACATCATCATTTTTGCCTAAGAACTTTCACCGGATCCCCTGGTTAGACCCGGCGGCGTGACTGCTGTCTGCTGCTGCGAACTTAAGGATTGAAGAAATGACCTATCCTCGTCATTGTAGGGAGGCACGACTTCTGCCAGGCGGCAAATCAACAGGGGCAACTTGACTCTGGTCAGGAACGAGCAGAAAGAAACACTTCCTAGCTCGGCGGCAGTACGCAGCGGCGCCTTCCTAGGCACGGAGAGTAAGCGGCCCGGGCATATTCTCTCCTCGATAGGAGGGGGAGGCGCGGAAAGAAAAATGGCGTCGCATACGACTACAATTGCATTACTCTGTTAAGTGCGGAAAGATGGACCTAGGTCTTGAAGAAGTGCCCGCACTCATGCTCCCGGGTATGATCAAAATGCGGAACTAAGTAAAATAACAACAAAATATCCATCGCTCCCTAATTCTTAGTCGTGGTCTTACGAGGAATTCCCTGGAATATCCAAAAATATCCGTCTGTGATCATCAATAGACGCTCAGTGATTGTGTCTGGGCTCCTCGAATCGCTGGGCTAGTCGTTGGTACTTGACTGCCTCGCGGAGGACCATCCCCTCGCTGAGTTGCGTCGCTTCCCTCCTGAACAGATCCTGCCAGGGAGTCTGGCTCTCAGGGACAGCGTACCCGCCATGGGCCTCCAGCTCCTTCTTCCGTTTGCCCAGTTCCTCCGCGGGTACAAGGATGTCGACACGCCGTTTGTTAAGATCAACACGGAGTCTGTCCCCGTCTCGAAGAAGAGCCAGATTGCCACCAGCCGCCGCTTCAGGAGAGGCATTCAGGATCGACGGCGAGCCGGACGTGCCAGACTGTCGACCATCGCCGATACAAGGAAGCGAGTGGACACCCTTCCGTAGAAGGCGTCCGGGAGGGTGCATATTGACCACTTCTGCCGCGCCTGGATATCCCAGGGGTCCCGCACCGCGCATGATGAGGATAGTCCTATCGTCGATTGGTGTATTGGGATCTTCAAGGCGATCGTGGTAATCCTCCGGCCCGTCGAAGACGATCACCGCGCCTTCGAACGCGTTCGGATCGTCCGGGTTCTCGAGGAACTTCTGCCTGAACTCCGTGGATATCACGCATGTTTTCATGATGGCGGAGTTAAACAGGGTGCCCTGGAGGTGTAAGAAGCCGGCGTCTTTCATGAGCGGGTCATCATAGGCTCTGATCATGCGGCGGTCCCACGTGTGCTTTCCTTGGACGTTTTCCTTCACGGTGCGGCCATTGCACGTTAAAATGTCGGCGTGCAGTTTGCCCGCGTCGAGCAGCTCGGCCATGACGGCTGGCAAGCCGCCGGCGCGGTAGTATTCTTCGCCCAGTAGCTCTCCTGCTGGCTGCATGTTCACCAAAAGAGGGATGTGGAAACCCAGTCGATCCCAGTCATCTAGCGAAAGATCCACCCCAATATGCTTTGCAATGGCGCCAATATGGATTGGAGCGTTGGTGCTGCCACCGATAGCAGTGTTCACGACGATGGCATTTTCAAAGGCCTCGCGAGTCATGATATCGCTGGGCTTTCGATCGGCATGTACCATCTCAACAATCTGTAAGCCTGTGTCGTAGGCGCATTGTCCTCGTTCGCGGTACGGGGCAGGAATGGCCGCTGACCCGGGCAACGCCATCCCCAGGGCCTCGGCAAGTGCGTTCATCGTCGAGGCGGTTCCCATTGTGTTGCAATGTCCTACGGATGGTGCTCTGAAAAGAGTCAGAATACATGAGCCGTCTGAGCCTGGTCGTTGACATACCCTCGGGACACGTAATCGATGAACTCCTCTTTACTGATCTCGCCGGCGGCATACTTCTCCCTGCCTTTCCATACCACCATACCTGAGCCGGCGAGCTCGTTCTTCATATAACCATTGAGCATGGGGCCGACATTGAGACATACTGCGGGAATGTTCTGTAGAAAGGTGTCAGAATCCGTTGGACACCAGAAAGTGCAAGCAAAGATCACATACAACCGTAGCAGCAGCCATTAGAGCAGCCGGCGTCGTCTTATCGCAGCCAGTGAGCAACACGACACCATCCAGGAAATACCCATGGAGAATCTCAACCAAGCCAAGGTACGACAGATTCCGATCGATAGCCGCAGTCGGCCGCCTGGAGCTCTCCTGTATCGGATGCGTAGGAAACTCAAAGGGAATCCCGCCAGCCGTCCTGATGCCTTCGCGTACCCGCTTCACCAGCTCGAGATGATGGCGATTACACGGCGCCAAATCCGAGCCGGATTGCGCGATCCCGATAATTGGCTTCCCCGACATGAGCTCCTCCTTGGTCATGCCGTAGTTCAGATACCGCTCGATATAGAGCGCCATCATGCCGGGGTTGCTCTCGCAATTGAACCACCTGGAGGACCGCAGCTTCCGGCCAGCTCTGGACACCTTCGCCGGGCCGGTCGTCATGGACGCCAGCGACTTCTCCAGCTCAAGTGTGCGCCTCCGGAGCGCAAGCAGTTCGGCCTCGCAGTCTTCGATGTTCACCGGCGCGCGATTCGCACCGGCATCGCAAGAACAGCCTTCGCATGAGGCGGAGGCCTGTGTGTTGCACGGCATGATCAAGTGCCTTTTGGTGAGCTCAACCACCAGTCTGGTCCAGAAATATGAATATGACGCTGAATATGTACCGATGGGGACAGGGAAACCTTAATTGGTGAAATGCCGAGAAAGCGGAGATGCTCCGACCGGCGTGCCGAATCTACCTTATTGCTAATGCAATGATTATCAATAGATCGAGGGGCCCGAACAGGGACCAGGGGAGATGGATGTTTATTTAAATGGCAGACGAGCCTGGATCAGGTCCTCAGAGGCTCAAGTTCGAATGATGTATGACTGATGGATCAATTCAAAGTCAGTTCCTGGAAAATGGATGCGGCCAGTTCAGATACCCCACGCTACCGGAAACTGGGGCATGGGGGTCGCAATGGGCAGATGCTGGAGATGAGGATGACACTATATTATCAAGCAGAGAGAAAGGACGATGATGATGATGGTGATGCCGGATATACGGACTTTTATACTCCGTAGCAGCTTCAGACTGAGGAAAAGCAATATACGCCAACAAAGCGGCCGCTTGTCGTGACGCAGGTAACCGATATTGCTTTTTGTTTGATCATAATTCCTTTTCTTGTCAGATTCCCTGGCAAACAATATTGAAGAAATACAAGGAGTAAATGAAATGCTTATTGAGGCAGTATTGACGATATCCCACTTCCTTTCCGCAATACTGTAAATGTCTCATCCCACTCTCTGGTGGCATCCCACATTGTCTACCCCACGCTCCACGGCGCACGCGACCCAGCCAGCAACTGGTCGTGTCATTGTTGCTACTTGGTCTCTTGAGGCCTTCAAACTTCCATTGCAGGTCTATAACTTGCCCCTTTGGGTTTGATTCTAGTACGGTGAAGCTAAATTTCTTGGAATAGACAGGAACGACAAGGTCAATCGTAGCTTTCCCATGAAAACAGGCCAATAAATCAATTTCCGGAACGCCTGCGATGCCAGAGAAGGGAAGCCCGCCTCAGCTTGGATCGAGCATATCTACCAGAAAAGCACAGAGCAAGGAAGAGGGAAGCGAATTGCGAGAGGGGAAAAAAAAAATCTACTGAGGCGCACACTGCGCTGGTTCTCCGTCCTCGTCCTCGTCTTCCCACGCGGAGCCGTGTTGATCGCGGGCTCCAAAGTCATCTAGATTTCCTTTCGGGTCGTATTCGACTTCGTCGACCGTGTCGGCCTGGATCAAGGGATCCGGCTTAGGCAGCATCTCCCGGAGTCTTTCCAAAACGGCTGCGCTGGGCTTCCACGTGGAATCGGGGAACTTGATGTTGACAACCAGGTACAGGTCGCCCCGGGCGTCGCTGCGCTTGATCGGCATGCCTTCTCCCGGCACCTTCAGAACCTGGCCGGGTGATAATACCTCCCCAGGAGTCTTGGGATGAGTGATTTCGATGCCTCGGCCGTCGAGATGTTTGACGACCACGCGCGAGAAACCGGTCAGCGCTTCGGCCAATGTGACGTCGATGGTGGCTGTGAGATCTGCCCCAGCTCGTCGGAAGGTCGGGTGCTCCTCTTCCACAATGTGGAACACTATGTCGCCAGGTTCTTGGCCCGGTGACTGATCCGCCTCGCCTTCCAGGACGATTTTATCTCCTTCTCTAAGCAAGATATTAGCCAGAGGATTCTCGTCCTAGTGCCATGCTTTGTGACTCACTTTGCTCCCCGGGGAATATAGATCTCCAGCATTTTCTTCTCCTCCACGGTCTTGTTGCCTTTGCACTTCTTGCATTTGTCCTTGGGGCTGAAGAATTCTCCCTGGCCATTGCAGGTCGAACAGGTCACCGTTGATGGCGTAAGGAACTGTCCCATCCGCGTCAAGATTTGCTTGAAACCTGTAGTTCAAATCAATTCCAGATGTTCCTGAAAATAATAGCCACTTCTGCCTCATACCTTGTCCATCACACGTCGAGCACTTCTTCGCCGTCGCTCTTTCCTTGCCACCTTTACCCTGACACAGACTGCAGATGACATTCTTCGTGCTAGCAAACTTGACCGTTTTGCCCTTGTAGAGGTCCTCTAACCGCACCTCGTACTTTGTGTTCTCGTCCGGGCTCCGTCGAGGCTTGGGAGGCCGTCCGCCAGGCATGCCGCCCATGCCGGGCATCCCACCACCCATCCCGAACATCTGCGCCAGAATGTCGTCCAGATCCGGCCCTCCTGCCATGCCGGGCTCGCCGGAGCCATTGAAAGCAGACATGCCATGGGTATCATAAAGGTGTCTTTTATCTTCATCGTAAAGGATATCGTAGGCTTCTTGGACGGCTTTGAATCGTACCTCGGCGGCTTCTCGTTCGGCCTCGGGGACCTTATCGGGGTGATTTGCGAGGGCGGCCTGTCCATTCATCATCAAGTCAGTAATTTTTGTTCAGTTCCCGGCTGGGATGAGGACGGTGTGCGTTTCCGACCTTGCGATAAGCCTTCCGGATCTCGTCTTTCGTTGCGCTTCGAGACACCTCCAGGACCTCTGCATGGGTACGTTGCCGTCAGCTATTGTTTAAATCATGAAGAGCAGGAGAAAATACCATAGAGGTCGATCTCGACACCAGCCATCTGGTAAGCGTAAGCGATTGTTAAATGGTAGAGAGACTGTCCAACACAAGCATACTGGGCAAGGTTGTCCCCTCCTCCAAGCACTCCGAGAAATCTAACAGTGGGTTGATGGTGCTTATCGTCGCGCAGAAGGCAGTCACTCCGGAAGAGAATAAGGGTATTTGCTGATGAAGGGGATGTGTTGTGTTTGATCGTGCTTGATACGATGCGGAACCCCAGAATTTTTAGCCCGCTTTTTTTCGCAGTTCGGCCGTGCTTTTTGCATATCTCCGATTTATCGTCCCTGCGCTTTGCGGTGGTCGAATGACAATCCGCGTATTTCGGACACAACCCAACAACAACAATTATAGTCATTGCTGGTGTCCAGGAGTACCGGGCGTCTTCACCGATAGCATTCTGCATCATGAGACACTCTCATCTTGGGTTCCTGGCCCGTCGATCGTGGATCTGCACGCGATGCAGAGCAGCCAATTACTCCTCCATCGCGCCAGCCCGCGCTGGCAGCAAGTCTAAGAAGAACCTCCCCGATGCACCGGCTAGAACCAGGTTCGCACCGTCGCCGACCGGATACCTTCATCTTGGATCCTTGCGGACAGCATTGTTCAACTACCTCTTGGCGAAACGGACGGGGGGCCAGTTCCTACTGCGAATCGAGGATACGGATCAGGTTCGACCTTTGGAGCGAGCACGGAGGCATACAATCTTGCGATCAGGGCTGACGAAGGGCACAGAAACGGACCATACCCGGTGCGGAGCAACGGTTATACGAGGATTTACAATGGGCTGGGTTACAGTGGGATGAAGGTCCGAGGTTTTTGTGCAGAGTCCGCAACGGAATGGAGGTGCTGACGCGGGTTATTTCTAACAGGTCCGCTGGTCGGTGGTCCCTACGGTCCGTACAGACAGGTAAGCACCCAGGAATATGAAAAACTAATGCTGTGAGACTGGGGCTGAGATGGTCGATTGCAGTCCGAACGGACGGCCATTTACCGCGAACATGCCAACCAATTGGTCAAAAACGGTCACGCATACCGATGTTTTTGCTCCACAGAACGACTCGACTCGCTCGCTCGACATCGCAGCCAGGCCGGTCTACCTCCTGGTTACGACAGACAGTGTGCAGACATCTCTGCCGAAGAATCAGAGGATCGAGCTGCAAAGGGCGAAGCGCATGTCGTGCGCTTGAAAGTAGAGGGCTATCCCATGTTCGACGACCTGGTCTATGGCAAGACTGGACAGAACCGCTCGAACAGCAAGCTGGATCTTATTGAGCGAGTCTACGATGACCCTATCCTGCTCAAATCTGACGGACACCCGACCTACCATCTGGCAAATGTGGTGGACGATCATTGCATGAAGATCACCCATGTGATCAGGGGAACCGTGCGTATATAACCCTAGGAAACGAACTGCAGATGTTGACTCGTACAGGAATGGATGCCCTCGACGCCAATGCACGTCGCCCTCTATAACGCCTTCAACTGGACGCCTCCCCGCTTCGGACATGTTCCTCTCCTCGTCGACAAATCCGGCCAGAAGCTTAGCAAACGAAATGCAGACATCGATCTCAGCTTCTTCAAGGATAAGCAAGGCGTGTTCGCAGCCACGCTTGTCAACTTCGCCGCTCTTCTGGGCTGGTCGCACACCCAAAAATCCGACGTCTTCAGCCTGGGGGAACTGGAGCAACTCGTAAGTTGACCTGGATCACCGTCCACAATCGCTCTGCTCACAAACACCCAGTTCAACCTCAAAATCACCCGCGGCAACACCGTCGTGGCCTTCGAAAAGCTCTGGTTCCTGCAAAAGGCCCACGCGCAGCGATTCGCCGCCACCGGCGGGCCCGTCTTCGACGAGATGGTCGCCAAGGTCTCTCAGGCCGTCAAAGAAACATACCCAGCAGACCAACTGTACGTACATCATCATCATACCCCAATAGCCGCCAACTCACATTCCCACAGCACTACCATTCTCGATTCTCGCGCCTTAGCTGAATACATCCCCCCACTCATCAAAGCCGACGCAAAATCCTACACCAACGCCCCGGAATTCGTCCAGCGCAACTCAACCTTCTTCACCACCACTCTCACACGACCACCCTATACGCCCATTTCAACCCCGAATGGCACCAACATCCCCATCACAGCCCTCCACACCGCTGCCGCCGCCCTCTCCCTCGTCCCAGCCTCGCACTGGACCATCGAAACGCACCGCTCCAACATCACCTCCTATGACGGCTCGGCCGCCGTCCTGCCCGCTTCCGCTTCTCCGGGAGGAAACGCACCCGAAAACACAGATGTAGATGCGGAAAAGGCCCGGGTAAACGCAGACAAGGCCTTCAAGAAGGAGTTGTACCACTACCTGCGCTGGGCTTTGTCGGCCGGTGCGCCGGGCCCCGGGATCCCGGAGATAATGGAGATTCTGGGCCGGGCTGAATCCCTCCGCAGACTTCAAGAGGCGAGGGAGCTCACGGCTGAGGTGTCGCCTGTTCGTGTGCCAAAGAGAGCTGAGTCGTCGCAGGGCGAGGGTACAAACTGGATGGGCTCTCTTGCTCCGCAGTCCTAGTGTTTTGTCAATGGTTCCTTCTCCTCACATTGATGTATTTTACCTCACAGGATTCTGTACTATATTGCACACTTTACGGCAAGCATCCACCGCCGGAAATTATCTATTCAGCTACCAGATGCCATGTAAAGCCTAAGTATTTCATATTTGCTACAAGTTGAACAGAGTAGTCCGAATAGTGAACAAATATCTCATTAAAAGGCATATTAACAAAATGCGCTACACTGATATCATAATCCATGAAAATAGCATGCTATGCGACTTGTACAATACCGAAGAAATCCCAGGAAAAAGGCACAAAACCCCACCAAAGCAAGGAGCATGGAACAGAATGTGATCACAAGGATCGGGGAATTCAAAAGGCGAATTAAGCGCGAAAGCCGAACATAAGAACTGGCGCCAGCCAAGGACCTTGCACTTCCTTCTGGTGGGAAGTTCAAGGTTGATTATTCAAGCGCAAACGAAGCATAGTACACGAAAGCCGTTTCGGTCTGTCTCTTTCTGGCAGTGGGAGCCGGAAAGGAAAGGCACCGACATATCACCTCCTGCGCGGAGGCCATCACAGGGTTGCAGTAGGAGCCATAGGAAGGAGGCCAAGGACCTGAGGACTCAAATCAAGAAGAACGTCACGAGCGTGGTATAATCCAAATTTTGGCGCAGAGAATCAAAGACGCTGTTTTGTGGCGACAAGGTGTCACCCGCAAGGTCAAAAGCGGTGGACCCTGCTCTGCGCAACGGGGGATTGAATTGCGGTGTATCAACCATATTCAAAATCATCGCGGGATCGTCAATGTCAAGCAGTGTGTCATTATCGCATCTGGCTTGAATGAGTAGACGCTGCAAACAAGCTTAAGAGTGGAAGCTCCTAGTATGCCTCCATGTCGTCCGTCCAACCAGCATCACTGCCAGCTACTCTGACTATCTGGCCATGATGGTCATCAATCGGCTCCTCTGGGCTAACGCTCCTGATACCCTTTGCCTTTTTACCTGCAAGAGATGCGTTGTCTTCAGGGGCGAATCGCTTGCTATGAGCAGCACGAAGTTTGGCATAGTAGACATCACTAGCGTCGGCTTCGGACTCGGACCCGTCATCAAATGTTTCCCAGTTTTCAGACCCTGTGTTCGCTGTGTCAACGGTTGACGAGTTTGAAACCTGTCTAGGCGCTGGTGGAGGAGGCGCATGTTGCAAGTAAGGATTGGCTCGTGGGAAATTCGGAATAGATGATATCGATGAGGCCGAGGACTGAGATGATTGAGAGAAGCCGGTAGATCGCTGTGAGAAAACAGAGGAGCTCATGAACGATCGCTGGTTACGATCGTCATAGACGTCCTCGGGGCTGACAGGCCGAACGAAGGCATTAGACAACGCGCTAGCACATCTTGGGGGATCCATCGCATAAGGCCCTCTTTCCTCTTTTGGATCAATCGTCAGAGCACGCATCCTAGGTGGGGGAGCACGTGGTGCTGGCATCTTGCCCAGGGTGCTGGAAGAATAAGAACCTGGTGCTGCGCGGTAGCCGCCGGAATTGTTTCCGTACGGCATGTTACTCAGGGGTACCCGGGCTGGGATCTTCGAGGGTGACTTCGCGCCGGCCCTAGATGGGCCGATAGTGTTGTATTTCGTCTGACCATTTCCGGTGGGCGTTCTGGTGGCGGAGCGAGGAGGAGGGGGCCCTCTCATGACACTTGCCGGACGAGAAGGCGGTTGTGACCTTCCAAAGCTTGCTTTTGAATTCGCAGAGGGTGGAGCGGAAGGTGTCTTGGAGCGTGGAGGAGGTTTGGCAACGACTGGGGTGAGTTCGTCAAGATATCTCTCGCCATGGACAAGGAATGGCCTGCCATACTCCTCCTCCCATCTTTCCAACTCATTTCGGAGATCTGCTTCGACTTTGGGCAACTCTTTGGCGATCCTCTTTCTCATCTTCTCCTCTCTCAGGAGCTTACCAGGATCGCGCCTCTCTCCCTTGTTGCCGCGCGCCATGAGACGTGAGGCATCCTGACTCGATACAGCCAGGGCTTCTCGCTCCGAAAGAAGACTCTTATGTCTCTCGATCAGCTGCAGCGTTGGGGCACGTTGCTCCTTCAGCGCCTCCAACCGGGCAATTTCTGCCTCGTGTGCTTCGAGAAGCGCGTCGCTGTAGACATCAGAAAACGCAGGCGTAAAGTCAAGCATTTCTTCTTCGGAGAAATAGAGTCCATCCCAGAGTTCCTGCAGTCGGCAGCGCGCGTCCTCCACGAAAAGATGCAGATTCTGTCTTTTAAGTTCATTGAGACGTGCCAGTTCTTCTTCAAATTCGTTGATCGTTCGCAATCCGCACCCACGATTGGCCGCGAGGAAGGCCTTTCTATCGCATTCCTCGACACCGAAGCGCTCCCACAACGACTCCACAGCGGTTCGCAGGTCCTTCAACTTGCGCTCGCGGGACCTCTTCTCTTCC